GACCACCAGTATCTGGGGGAACATTTGTTCACCATAGCGCCCCAAGAGATGACGAGGTCGAACGGTCATAAACTACTGTGAGACCATTTCAGGCTGGACATAAGGAAGACTTTCTTTACTGTCCGAGCCCCCAAAGTCTGGAACAGTCTGCCATCCTGTGACCCCTGCTGACTTCCTGCCCTTTGGGCGGGGGGGCTGGACTCGATGATCTTCCGAAGTCTCTTCCAGCCCTAATGTCTATGAAATCTATGAAACCAGTCCAAGGAACCAGAGGGTGCTGTCCAGTGAAACTGCCTGGAGACATGAACAGAACAGGGGCAGGAACTGAGACCCAGGCCTGTTTGACACACATTGCTAACATGGTCTGCCCAGAGAGCAACAGCTAGCTCCCAATAGTTAATGGGGGAGGGGGTCCTGGACTGAATTTGTGGGATAAAGACAACAAAAAACAGCGTAAAGGACTGAGGGTCCAAGCACGCCAAGGGGGCAGCGAGCATAGCACAACGAGCTCAAGCAGCCAGTGGACAGAGCCTCCTTCCTGGTCTTACAGATGCTGAGCTGGGCCAGAGCCAGGGGGAGGAGGTGCTGCCCAGGAGGAGCTCAGGAACAACACTGTATTTTATTTTTTTCATCCTTTCCGAGGCCAATCCCGTCCCGGGCTCAAGGGGCAAAGCCCAAGAGTCACGTTGTAACTCCCCCCGCCTCGGGCACTCCCCACACGCCCGCTGCCCCGCTTCGTCTTAGCCAAGAGGAGTCAAGCTCCAACCCCGGCCCGAGGTGGGGGGGAGGGGGGCGCTTACCTGCGCGCCGGGCACGGCCCCGAGCAGCGCCAGCACTAGCAGCGGCAGAGCCATTGCCGCCGTTGCCCTGGCGACGAGCCGGCAGCGGACCCCACCCCGCGGGCGCATGCGCACTTGCACCGCCCCCGCTGCTGGAGATCAGGGTGGGGAAGTCAGTCAGCAACACGGCCGCGCGAAGCGACGCAACGCGACGCGACGCACTGTGTGACTAGAGGACGAGGCTAAGCCCCCTGCTCCCGGAAAGTGGCGCGTTAAGTCACACGACCAATGGGATTAGCCCTCCTCCGAAGTTGTTTCCGTGAGTGCCTGAGAAAAACAAAATAAAACAAAAAACAACCCAATCATGCTGCGGAGGAGAAAGAACTTTGAAAAGAAACCAAAACAAAAAAAAAGCTCCGTTGGCTCCTGCAGCAGTCTCGCGGCAAATGAGTCTAGTGGCATGAAGGCATAATCTTCAATCGCCTCACGCGGTCGCCTTTGGTTGCATGGAGGGGGCCTCTTAGGCGTTGCCTCGTGACGTCATTGGCGCGCGACCAAAGAGGTCGTGGACCCTTGAGGCGGGTGGTGGGAGAGCGAGTCGCTACGGGGCTCGGAGAGGCGTGGGCCATGGACGCTGGGGGCCGCGGGACCCGTTCCCGCTCTGCCCCTTGCCCCAGGCCCTCGCCGCGCGGGGGGACCATGAGCCTCTTCCCTTCGTAAGCCGCCTTCTCCCGGGGCCGGGGCGGCTTCTGCCCTCGCCCGCCTAGTCTGTCCTTCCGCGGTGCGTCCCGGCAATTGAGGGGCGCGGTCCGGAGGCCTCCCCCCGCGGCTGGAGATGGACAAGAAGTCGTTCGAGACGGTGCTGGATGAGATCCGGAAGGTAACGCGGCTCCTGCGCGTGTCGAGGCTGAACCTCCCGGCGGGGGCTCAAGGCGCTTTACCCGAGCGCCTCCACCGCGAGCGGGAGCTGCAGGTCAGGGTTTCGCAACAAAGAGGGGAGTCGCCCGCACAGGAGACTGGCCAGCTGTGGCTGGTGGTGAGCGCAGGGTAGTGCAGGCCGGACCCCTGGCAGGGGAAGGCTCCGAGCCGAGCGGCTGGTTGCGTTGGGTTCAATGTGAATGCTTACTAAAACGTATATAGATGTATACATCTAAGAACAGCTGCTTACTGGGTGAGACCATAGGTCCTTCTTGCACAGTGTCTTGTGTCACAGGGACAGAGAGCAGATGCTGAAGTGGAGAGGGGGCTGGGTATGACTGTGGTTTTCTCCCCGCCCCCCGCGTTCTTTGCCACTTGCAGTCAGCCCCCTCCCCGCAATTTAAGGAAGTTTTGACTCAGAGGCTGTATCCCTAACTCTTGTGCTCAGTAGCTATGGATGCCCCTTTCCTCCAGGAATTCGAGGACTTATAATTTACTAGCCAATTGCCCATCAAGAATGATGGGGAGGGGGCTAGGATGGAGCATTGCCACCTAACACCCCATGCTGCCGCTGTTCTGCCTCTTGCAGGGACGTGGCTGGGGGAGTTGGGGGCAGCCCTGCTGGTCTTGGTTCCCCACCCTCTGTCCAGGCCTCAGCCCGGCTTTGGAATCATGGGGGTGCTCCCCCATGCTTGGAGCACTCTGATTGGCTGTTTCCATCAGCTAATCAGAGTAGGAATAAAGCGTGACAGATACACAGACTTTTATAATAATTATTTTATAATATTAGAATAGTAGAAACTATAAATGGTTTTCTTTGGGACTATTAGAAACAGTTTACAATAAAGTGAGCTTTTGTTTATGTAAACTTACATACCTCTGATGCAGTTAGTCTATACAGCATCTCTCCTTTGCCTTCTGTACATAGATGGGTGATTGTATAAGTAATAAAAGAGTGGCGGGTAGGATGTAGTCATTGCATTTCTCGCTGCGCTTGTCTAGATCAGTGGTCTCCAAAGTGGGGTGCACTAAGACAATCCATTGGGGGGCAGGAAGAAAATATTAGAACTTCTATTTATATTTATACTTATTTTCTCTCTCCCTCTCTCTATAGAGAGAGAGATTATATACATGTACTACTGTACTAATATATTATGTACTAGCTGTATATATAGAGATCTATAGATCTATAGATCTCTATATATACAGCTAGTACATAATATATTAGTACAGTAGTACATGTATATAATTTATAAATAAATATACATATATTGGGGGTGCATGCTCAAAAATTTTTTGCTGATAGGGGTGCGCAATAAAAAAGTTTGGAGACCACTGGTCTCGATTAAGGAAGTAACATGGATTAAGATAGTGTGTGGATTTTAAACTCGGAAGCTTGTTTCTTGAATGACTCCACATGTAGATAACTGTTTTATTTTGGGAAGAGTTCTGTGGGCTCAGCTAAAGGAACAAAGCACTCGTGTTCTTGAACAGTAGTGTCTTGATCTGACGTTAATCAGGAGCTTCTCTGAAGGTGACGCTATCATGGAAGCAAGCTCAGTTCACTTATATTTATTTGCAAGATGCTGTGAAGTGTGAAAGGTGTCAGGAAGTGTAAACAATTACAAAGGTTCCAAAACTTCTGTTTTGTTCTTGTGCATTCATTTGATGCTTGTTGTGAAGTATTACTGTTGTTTCTGATTCTTCAGTAATCCATTTCACTCTTAACTTTTTTTCCCATTTGCTTAGAAAATGATGCTGAATGGCTAAGCATCTCATATTAAACTAGATAATTTTCTACTAAAATGTTTATATTCGAGCAGGAAAACTTTAAATATATCAATCAATTCTTTAGGACCAAGGCATGAATGTGTTGAATAAATTGCTATAATATTATTTTTCAAACAGTTTTGTCACTTTTTCTTTATTGACTGAGTTTAGGGATCGTCTTATGCTGCATAGGATAGGGTTACCGGAAAGTTGAATACTACTGTAATTCCATATGGGGTTTCACTGACTCCGGTCTTTACCAGTTGCTTCGTGCAATGCACCCTGGTTTTTATCAGCTTATTTTTAAATACAGTTTTGAATGCAAGTAACATGAGTGTCCTAGCTTTAAAGCACTCAGTGTGCCTCCCCCCATAATTATCCTATGACTAGGAGGCCTCGTACAAGTTGGCATTTTTTCTTTCTCAGTTAAAATGATAATAGTTTCTTAAGGGGGAAGACACCATATTCTTTTAAGAACCAAAATGCTCTGAAGAGTTGGTATAAAGAAACATTCTAGTGCTTCAGCTGTTTGGTGTGTAGCCTCTCTGAAAAAACAAGCTGCTGCATGTATTGTTTGGCCCTGGGAAGCTCTTAGCTATCAGCCTACATCACTTTTATAGGGTCATCGGACTATAGGTATATCTCTGCATTAACTACCTTCTCACCTGCTGTCCCACCTCTCTTCTGAAACTGAATAGACCCAAAATAGAAGTTCTTAGCTTCTCTTCCATCATAGAGAACAACAGCCTTGCCTTTTCAGGCTGGCACTCTTGCAGTTACTTGACTCACTCTCCTTTTCACATTTTGGCATTTGGGCCAAGTGGCTGGATGCGAAGCTGACAGCAGTGCAGAGTTGCCGTGGCTGCTTTGCCCAGCTCTGTGGGGCCCCCTAAAGCGCGGGGCCTGGGGCAGACAACCCTGCAGACAATTTTCAGTGCTGATCCAATACTGGACTGATGCATGGGTGTACCTATATTGATTAATGGACAAAATTAGATTAATTGCTGAAGATGAGCATAATCTTACAGAACGCATCTTTCTCTGCCATGGAGTGCTCTCGGCTTGCACCTCCACAGCAGGCTGGGGGGAAGTCCTCCTTCAGTGTTCAATCAAGCAAGTATCTTCATACATGGAGCAGTCCCTTTGGTGTGAAAAGTTACCTTGCCCAATTCCTTCCAGTTACATTACCAATGTATGGGTGCCTCGGAAACATGATCATAACATGATCAATTACCACACTCCAGCAGACTTGATTAATGGAGTCTGCTTATTACAATGCATTGGAGCAGCCTTGTTGCACATGTATAGGTGCCCTATGATATTGGTTTCCCTTGAGATGGAAAGGCAGGCTTCTGTTATGCAAAATTAACCTTATTAACCTAATTAACTGCCGCCTGGCAGTTTGCTGTTCTAGTCAGATAGAGGCCCTCATATGTAGCAACTGCTTCAGTTTTCTGATAGCTGCATACATCACAAATGTTAGTTCTGTGCTAACAATGCCTGTATGTATAGTTAATTATAAGGTTGTACTTAAGGAATGTCTGGTTTCTTCAGAAGTATTTGAAGCAAGGTATTCAGCTAAGTGCTTTCAAATGTTCATTTTAATTAATTACCAAGTCTTGGTTAGAGAGCTGTTAAACAGTTAATAATGGAACCAGTCTATTTAAAATGTGGAAGGAATAGAAAGAATGATAATGGTGTTCTTCTGAAGTTTTTAAAAGGGAAATGGTAAACTTGATAGAGAAACTAAAGAAGTAAAGATGCATTACTGTGTAGCTTTAACGTCTTCCCTGTGCTCACAAATACTCACATTATTCTTCAAGGAGTATACAACTCCTTGTAACAAATGCCATCAGTAACAAATGCTAACTTGCTTTGCAACATTAGACATGTTTTTCATATGAATAGTTTTGGTTGGTTGTTTTTTTTTTGCAGATGGTTGTGTTATAATTAGGTTTTATCAGTTAATTGCTGTTCTCTTGTGTTTTCTAGGCTGTATTGACTGAATACAAGCTAAAGGCTATTGAATATGTACATGGATACTTCTCTGGTGAACAGGTAAAGTTCTACATACTTCTCTGTATTTTCATAAAATATCAGGTCCTGGGTTCTGTCTGTACACTAAAGTACAGACCGTGGAAAATCGGATACAATTTGACTTACTTGAACATCTGTGTGTGTAGAGCGCCTCTTGTCAGCCCTGGCCCCCACCCACCTTGCCCCACGCAGATCCAAAGACACATGCCCTCCTGGGGTGCGTGCAGTGGCGGGAGCTGCCCCCCGGACGAGCCGTAGTTCCATCCCATGCCCTGGCTGGGCAGTGCTTGCCCCAGCCCCACTCCCTTCCTCACTGCGGGGGGCCTCAATCTGCCCCTCCACCCACCATGCCCCTTCCTTCCCCCTTTCCCTGCAACAGACTTACCAGCTAGACACAGCTCTCCAAGCTGCTGGGCTGTGCTCCTTGCTGCCTACGTGCTACATGCATGCACGAAGCATTTATCAGTTAAATTATCAACCACATCAGGCAAAAAAAGCTGATTTCCGATGCAGTCAATTTTCTTTATATTGATGCTGATCCAGTAGTGGACCAGTGTATCAGTGCACCTCTACTCAGCTGTCACATGGAGCTAGTCTGGGCACATGCTGAATGTAGCATTACCAGGTCCAGCCCAGGACCCTTTGGCAGTACCGTGAACTAGATGATCCAGCCAGACGAGCCCTTTCTGACCAAGTGGCTGTATCTGACACCCCTGCTGCAGTGGCATCTAAGGTCCTTAAAATATATCTGGCTGGAATGCATGACTAGAAGGGCTAGGAGGAGGAGGAAAGTGACCTTTCTGGCCTTCCCGCATATCTGAGTGGCTAGGGACTAGGTTCTAGGCCCCCATCACCCAAAGGGAGTGAGCTTGAGTGAGCTGGATCTCTGACTCCCTCAGCACATCATTCTACCAATCGCACAACAGATCAGGTATTATCCAGTCTTTTCTTTGAAGCATCTTTTGAAACTGGTATTCTGGGCAGCCTCAAGAGTCCTGTGAAGTATATATTGTCAGGAGGAAAAGAGCAAGCGGGAGAGTGTATGGCTTAACAAAGTGCCAGCTTGCTTGGAAGAAAGAGGGCCTTTATTTCTAACTTGGAATCCTGCTCCCAGTGAGGCAGAAGCTTTCCTGTACACTGCTGTTTTCCCCATTTTTTTTCCTTGTGATTTAGTAAATACAAGAGACTGGCTTTTTTTCAAAAGGAGCACTAGAGGAAGGCTAGACAATACCTGACCTAAAGCATCATGCTGACAAATCAGAAACCTAGGTCTCAAATACTTGATGGTGAGAGGAGGCTTAGAATCACTTTCATCAGCTTCTCCCACAAGTGTCTGGCCACTCACCTGTTGGGGCCAAAAGATAGAAAGCTTTCTCCCTCCTCCTCCATTTTGTTCTCAATGTACATGCCCAGTCTGTACATGTATGTAGCTGTTTAATGTGCACAGGCTTTCATGGCCAGAAATGGAATTCCTGCATGCAGATTACCAAAAATGGTAAGTTAGATGACTAGGAAGCATTAAAATGCCACCCTGAATGTCTGTAACCTTGTGTGGGACTATACTTTTAAAAGCGAGTTCACAATTTTTCTAGTATATATCTTGTACATTGAGTATATTTGCTTATTTGTATATTGTGTATATGTCGAGTAGGAGTACATGTGTATAAAATACAAAAGAGCATACATATTCATTTATAAATACATTTCCTAAAAAAGCCAACTCTTTTCACTTGATAACCTGTTAGTATCCTAGGGCAAACAGAAAACACAGTGTATATTATTGTGTGCACCTGATAAAATATCAATGTGCATATATTTAGCAAGATTGCACTGTTCTTGAAAAGTAAAGTAACTTCAAAGGTATTTGATATTGTTAATAAAATGTACATATATAAACATGAACAGTATGCTTGTCTTTTTCAGGTTGTTGAGTTGTTAAGATACTTTTCTTGGGCAGAACCACAGCTGAAAGCAATAAAGGCTTTACAGCATGTAAGTTTTTTCATGGGATACTACTGTGAGGTGTTTGCCTGTTTCTTCTGCTCTTAATTTCCATTACAACTACTTTTCCAGCAAATGGACATAATGTATAATTGTGTGCTTACCTCTTTACTTAATTTCTCTCTTGATGACAGCGTACATGAGAGAGGTGGTTAATTGTGTTAGTCTGAGACCAGTCAGAAGGAAACAGCAGATTTGCACCTTTAGGCTAACTTAAAGATGGAACTGCTTTCATAAGCAGCATCTTGCTTGATCTAATGAGAAGGATGATCATTCCTTTGTATTATAATTATTGCTTTCCGTTTCCTCTGCTTCCTGTAGTCCCTTGTCCATATCTGATGAAGCAAGCTCCTGATTACAAAAGCTTATGCATCTCTGATTTAGTCTCTAAGATGCAAATCTACCCTGCCTTCTGCCATCGTAATGTATGGCCTTTTACTCTACAGGAGTGTCATTCTTTCTGTACTGGATATTACAGAATGGTGAGCTGTCAGTGAGTGAATAACTGCTGTTAAGATGAGTAAATAGAGTGTGGTGATTGTTTATTTAAATTCAGATATAGGGATTTTGCTTTAGACTCATGCATTAAACTCATGAATTAAAATTAAGGGGTACTGTCTTATAATTTGTGTAACCAACCTTTTTTCTTCTGCTTGTACTTGTCAGAAAATGGTTGCTATCCCAGCATCAAAAATGGTTAACATCCTCAACTGTTTCACCTTTAGCAAAGACAAGCTTATCGCTTTAGAAATCTTAGCTTGGTAAGTATCTCTTATGTGTTGTGTTAGTATATCAAAATGTTATAGTTTTATTCGTGTACAAAAAATGTCAGACAAAGGAAAATGTCAAAGAAAGCATGCTGTTCCATTTTAAGGTGGAAATACAACTTTAAAAAAAAAAGAAATTCATGCTTATGAGTAGAAAAAGGATTGAGTAGAACTTTGAACAGGAGAGGACACTCTCCCAACATACATTGGTATTGAACTGTGTCACTCTGTGGGCTAATCTACATGTGAAATTAATGCACCTAAATAAACTCTAGTGCAGTTTGCACCGGAGTTTATTGTTCCCAGATGCAGCATCTTCACATGTGCCTGGGAGTGCAGCACATTGGGCTGGAGTAGGGCAGCCCTGCCTGCCAGGGGAGGGAGGGGAGGGGAAGTTGTTATAGTCTGCCAGCTTGGAGCTGCTTCACCTTGGTTCAGTGTGCTGTGGAGGGGCTGACTGGGGCACAAGGATGCTACTGTGTGGGGCTAGCCAGCCGGCAGCTCCCACACTATAGCATCCTCATGCCCCAACCAGCCCCAGTCACCATCAACACTTGTGTTGTGGCAGAGTTGATTAGTTTACTCCAGCCTAATAGCACCACTTGTGTAGACATTGACCGTTTACTGTGGCATGTATTGGGCATCTCTGCAATAAGTGTCTCATGTAGATGCACCCTGTTACTGGTGTCCTTTATCTGGCTGAGACCTGACAGTTAGGTAAAACTTATGTGGTGTATTCAGAAGCCATTTGGAGACTTAGATCTCAAATTCTCTTTCCATTTACTGAATGAACTCTTCCAAGTATTGAATCCACCTAGGTGGACCTTTAGCTTGCTCTCCTCTATCCTAAGCCTTGCATCTTCTGTATTTTTAGAACCCAATAAATATTTAATTGCACTTGGTAAATAGTTTTTAAGATGTGAGTTATGTCAGTGTCTACTTAAACAGGTGTGCTTGTTTGTTGAATCAGAACAGTATTATAAAGGGTTTTTGTGGTATTCCAAAGGAATATTTATATGGAAAAGTTATTGCTCCCATGGATCTTTTTGTTATATCAATTTATGTTTATTACAGATTTCAGCACTGTCTGTTTTGGAGGGCTGTTATGCTAATGATGTTTTCTATCTATATTTTGTGTAAGGGGTGTTTTACCCATACATGAAGTGCTGTTTTTATAGGTTCATGACGTTGACCCTCTTGAGAACTTCTTAGCATGTAAACTCTTGACATGAATAATTATACATTTTTAGGAGGTGTTAGTCTCTTAAACACTTCATACAGGGCTTTTTATGCTTATGCTGCAAACCAGCAGAGCGGAGAAAACTCAGTCCCAAGGTGAGTCGCATCTTTAATACCAGTGTGCTGAGGTGTTTCTGAAAGCTTTTACTGGCTTTTTGGCTGGTCGCATTAGCATTACATTTCCTTCATTTTAATGTCCTTCGTTCCAAACTGTAATGGAAAGTAGCTATACTTCATAAGGGTTCTCACAGTTCTCCCTGATACTGGTTTGGAACAACTTTGGAAACAATGACCTACTACTACTAAGGTCTTGAGGCAGAGCTTGTATGTTAGGGTTGGGGTTGCCTGGTGCAGTTTGTTTTGTTAGGGGGTAGTAGCTTATTCCTCTAATTTAAATTTAATTGGGGAAACTCCACTTCCATTTGGAAGCATCTGAAATGTTTCATTTCTGCAAAATATGGAGCTAATTACTGAGACTCCTTTCTTTTTGATTCTGGGGAAAACTAGAGATTGGAACAGCAGAACACAGGCTGGTAAGGAACAAGAAAATATGCCAAGTTGGAGAGCTTGCTGCTGTGAATGGGTTTGGTCAGAATGAATCTGCTAACCGAAACCTCTCAGTGCAGTTCATTCTGTTTAATTTGGTTGTTTCTGATCATAAATTCAGATGGGTATTTTTTTTACGTAGTGTATACATTTAGAAAAAATTGGGATATGATATTTCAGTCACAGTTATGATAGACATCCTTTCGTCTGAGGGTTTTTTTCATTTATTGACCTTTAAGGCAAAGAAATCAAGTTGTGCATAGTGTTAAGAATGATTTTTATGTGGACTGACTATATTTCTTGAATATATTGCTGAGAACTGTTTGAAAAAAATAAAGCCCTATTGAAAAACTGTTGATATTTCTGGTAATCTGTGATAAGTGGATAACCTGACAGTAACTCTTTAATTAATGGCTTTCTTTGTAGCAACATTGTTGATGCTCAGAATTATCGTCTTGTTGAAGATCTGTTCAGGATTAATATGTCAGAGAAGAAAAGGTGCAGGAGAATTCTTGAGCAGGTATTAGAGATATCGAGTTATTTCCATGGCCTCTATCATTAATAGCCACCAGAAAGTGCTTGAGGAGATTGAACTAGATAATGTGAATCTGCAAGAGAAATAAAAAATAACTGGGTAAGCAGGGAGAGGAAGTTTCTGCCAGGCATTAAGATTATGTAAAAGAATGGGTATGGAAACCTCAGAGAGAATTAGGGGAACTATCTACTTTAAAGACATTTCAAGTGCTGTCATTACCTTCAATATAAGCATAATTGGGCCCAAAGGAATATCTAAACAAGACAGGAATACTGCATCTGATATGCAGTGAATAGGAAGGAATAGCAGAAAAGAACTGACATAAAGGGTTAGGTAAAGTTGTGGAGAGCTTTAGATCTGAGAGTTCCTTGTAGGCCTGTTCCTTCTTAGTGTAGTATGAATAGCATGACAGTGAAATTATACTTTTTAAAAATGCTGAATTTCAGACAGTAAATATTACAGTTCTGTTTAGGCTTGTAGTTCTTTAAATCAATTTTCTTTCGTTGTATTGCAGGCTTCCAAAGTAGGCTGTAAAGCGCCTCATGCCATGATATCTTCCTGTGGTATGATTCCTGGAAACCCTTATCCAAAGGGAAAACCAAGTCGCATAAATGGGATTTTTCCAGTAAGCATAGTCCTATTAAATAGTTTTTTCATTAAGCATTCATCAGGTACAAATAAAAATAATCCAGTTATATTTCTATTGGACTCTTGAATAAACAGCACTCCATGTATGGGTAAGTGTGGCAGGGCATTGTGTGCACCTGCCACTTTGAGGGCCTGGAGATGGCAGCTGCCAGGTTCCTAATGAGGACAGCCATTTTAGATTCATGGCTGCCCATATAAGCAAGGCAGTTCTGCTGCTGGAGCAGGCAACAACGTTGCCTGGCTGGAGGGCTGCTGATATCACCTGGAAGTAAGGGAGGAGTTGTAGGGGATGGATAGGAGGCTCCTGGTCCTGGTCCTGGTCCTGGTCCTGGTCCTGGTCCTGGTCCTGGTCCTGGTCCTGGTCCTGGGTACGACCTAAAACTGCACCCTGCTGGGAGTGGGTGGCCCGGTGCGGCTCCCGGTGCTGCAGGAGCCCCCAGGAAATGCCAGACCAGTTACCACCTGGGTGAAAGGCGGATCAGGGCACCTTTAACCCCTAGCCCCCACAACCGAGTAGGTTACCCCTTGTTGGAGGGTTGGGAAGGTGGACCCCATGAAGAAGAGTAAGGGCCATTGACTTGGGGGCTGTCTGAACTTCCCCTGACTGGCCCATGCTGGGGCCAGGACTGGAAGGGCCGGGGGGTCCACCGCTAGGAATGCCCAAGAGCTGAGGGCCTGGGGTTCCAACTGGCCTGGAGGTGGGCCAGGGCTAGTAGCCGAAGGTCCCGGTGAGGGGATCACACCTGGGGAAGCAGCTCAGGGAGCTGTGTTGCCTGGTATGATGGCAGAAGTGTCCACCTGAGGGGAAGAATCCAGGTGAGGTTCAATAGTAGGATTCTGGGGCCCAGCGAGGGGCCCGATGATAGTGAGAAAAACGTGATGCCATCGGCAAGGCTTGGGCTGCAGTGTAGGGGAGGAAAGGAGCCGCAGATAGCACTCCTTGGCATTGGGGCAGGAAATGGGCAGCCTCCTGCTTGATTAACATCTATTAACTAATTGACATCAAGGCATGGCAGGCGAGAACACGGGCCGTTAGCCCAGGAACAGGTGGGCGGGCCACAGCAAAAGCGGCCCCGAGCAGGCCCCTGTTACAGTAAGACACTTTTTTTCTGCAAGAAGTAGATAAGATGCCACAAATATGCTTGATGGAATTGTAGGAACTAAAAGTTGAATGTTTGTTTAAATTGTCATCTCCCAACTCATTTTTTAGACCCAATACAGAGTTGATCTCATTAATACTTTCATTAGGTCTAGTGCAGTTTTAAATATCCCAAACAAAATGATGCTATAAGTGGAGATGAACTCCGCTGATTTGTCTTTGTAGTGGTGAGGTCTGCCAAGAAGAGAATGTGGGGGAGTTTGGGTCAAAAGAGATGTAGGTAGCTTATGAGCTGTGCAAGGAGCAGGAAGAGAGGTGAGCCACAGGAAAGGCTGAGAGCCACTATTATAAAACAGCCTAATTAGAATTTTCTTATTTATGATTCAAACAGCATGGAACAGATCTTTTTGTTAGCTGTTACGTTACTGATTTAACATGATCAGAATAGCTGTGCATTTGAAAACAATTTAGAGAGGCTATTGTGTAAACCCTTATGTAGTGAAACTATCTCCACACCCTCTTGTGTTTATTTTAAATAAATGCTTAATAGCAGGTTGTTTTCATGTTTTAGGGAACACCTGTCAAGAAGGAGAATGAAGACGGCAGTAGTGAAGGAAAGGGAATAGCAGCCCGTATACTTGGACCATCCAAACCAGTATGTCTTAAAACAGTAGTATTTATAAAGCTAATTATGAAATTTAAAAAAGAAAGGGGGAGGACGGAGCTTTTTCTTTTGTCTATCAATATGCACTGATGGCTTTATTTATGCTGTTGAATCTTGTGTAGTAAAAATTATGCAGTGACCCAGTATTTTTGTACTTTAAAAAACCAAAAGGGCCAAATTCCTATTCATATAGTTCTTCCCTAAAGAAATAACATTGGTCTGTTCAATATCAGTAGGATTGTGTGGTGCTTTTCCCTTTGTTAGAGTAACATACTACTTAACTCTTTTCTCACTATTGCCTCTTTGTTTTTTTGTTTGTTTGTTTTCTACATAGGCTCCATCAACGTACAATCCACACAAACCTGTTCCATATCCCATTCCACCATGTCGGCCACATGCAACTATTGCACCAAGTAAGACTTCTTCATGTTTTACATTGTTCTTGTGGTTTTAGCCATTTGCCTTTTATTTTCTAAATGGGCTTTGTAGTGATACCTTTCTGCCATAAACACATTTTAACTTGATTTTTATTCCGTTTGCAGGCTCCTTTCATACTAGAAGCAAACATGCATGTCAGGAAAAGATTAGGATATTAACAGCTGTTGAGCTGTTAGGGCTTGTTTGATTATAAATATTTGACTTCTGTACCACAAAAACCAAGGAAAGGTTTGAGGCTTGTCATATAGGTGCTTTCTTTAAATCTGGCTGGGAAGGGGTGGTAAGGATGCTATTCCTTTTTATAAGCCCAAAGGCTACATCTTTAAGGAGTGAGTTCATTTCCATGGTTTTAAGCCACATGATGGTAGAACTCATGTCAATGCATCTCCCAAGTCCTCACAAAGACTGCAAATCATTTCTCTGACTTTTGGTCCACAGACATTCAGTCAGATGGATCACAAACTGGCTGGAGGGCCGCACCCGGAGAGTGGTGGTGGATGGGTCATTTTTGACCTGGAGTGATGTGGGCAGTGGAGTCCCCCAGGGCTTGGTCCTCGGGCCTGTACTGTTCAACATCTTTACCAGCGGCTTGGACGAGGGGGTGAAAAGCACCTTGTCCAAATTCGCGGACAACACTAAGATGTGGGGAGAGATGAGTATGGTAGAAGGGAGGGACAGGCTACAGCTAGATCTGGACAGGTTACAGGGGTGGGCGAATGAGAATAGGAAAGGATTCAATACCGACAAGTGCAGGGTACTGCACCTGGGGAGAGAGACCCAGCAGCATACATATAGGCTGGGAAACTCCCTTCTCGTCAGCATAGAGGCAGAAAGGGATCTTGGAGTCATTCCGGATTCCAAGATGAACATGGGCTGCCAATGTGAGGACACGGTCAGTAAGGCTAACCACACCTTGTCGTGCATCCACAGATGCATCACGAGCAGGTCCAAGGAGGTGATCCTCCCCCTCTATGCAACATTGGTTAGGCCGCAGTTGGAGAACTGCGATCAGATCTGTGCACTGCACTTCAGGAGGGATGTGGCCAGCATTGAGAGGGTCCAGAGGAGGGCCACTTGCATGGTCAAGGGGCAGCAGGGCAGGCCCTATGAAAAGAGGCTACGAGACCTGAACACCTGTTCAGCCTCCACAAGAGAAGGCTGAGAGGGGATCTGGTGGCTGTGTATAGACTTACCGGGGGGACCACTGGGGAATGTGAGAAGCCCAGTTTCCCCAAGCACTACCTGGAATAACTATATATAACGGCCACAAGTTGATTGAAAGTAGGTTCAGGCTAGA